GGACACCGCACCCACACAGAGGTACGCGAATCGGCGAGGCATCTCATCCAGGCCCCGCAGACATCGGCGAGACTGCGCGACGGCGCGAACGAGCTTTGCACGCATTGGCGCAGATGCAGCTGCTCCCGCCGTGCGCAGCGCCCCCCCAACGGGAGGACCATGGCAACGGTTCCGAAACCGACGCCGCAGTTACACTTTCGGACACACTCAGTGCCGCTACTCCGTTCGCTTCACCCCGTGGTGAGGTCCAAGCGGAACTTTCGGGAGCGATGGCGCTACCAGGGCAAGTGGCCGTGCCATGTGAGCGAACGGGCATCGTGAGCAGACCCAACGTTCGGTTTGCGATGCGAGGTCAACCTCCCACGACATGAGCGTCAGGCAACGATGACAACACGGGGGCGGTCCCGGCGGCTGGACGCGTGCGGTTGGCAGCATGTTCTGGCAGCGCATGCAAAGTCATGCGGCGTCCGGGACGCGATGCCTCTGTCGTTGCGGTGGGGCACGGGGGCCCAGTGCATGCGCGCGTCGGGGAGTTCCATGAAGCCGGTCGCAGGTCCAGAGAGGCGGCGGCAACAAACGGCGCGCACACGTTCTAGTTCAGGCGGTTCGGCCACGTCGGCACTGGAAAAGGTCCTGGCCACATAGTCCCGAACGACTGTGAGCGGTTTGGTGGCTGGGCGGCGCCTCGAGATCAAGGCTGATCCCCAGGTCTCGGCAACGGGCGGCAATGCTGGGCTCGCGGGGCAGATGATCTATAGCAGCGCGGCAATTGGGGCACCGACCGTGCAAGCGGGCGGCCTGCAACATGCAGCCGATGTGGGTGAAGGTGCCGCAGCACGGATAAGTGGTGTCGTGCACATCTGGCTCGGGGGAGGGGCGTTCCAGACAGAGGGGCACGCCGCAAGGGCCGGTGCATCAAAACCCGGCGTGACGTCGCCAGGCCCGTCCGCTGGAGGGGGGGAAGAGGGCACGTCGATCGGCGTAGCGTCCTGGAAGGTTTCCCCTCCCCAGTTGGGCGGAGTAGGTGAAGACATGATGGATTGAACACTGCACGCAAGCTTATGAGGCTCGAATGCGCCGATGGGCCTTCCTGTGCAATGCTCGGCGTGATGCCGGGCGTGAAAAGATGAGGGTGGCCAGCGGGTGCAGCCCAGCCCCCGCAGCGCACGAGCGAGATTAAACTGGCAAGGACAAGCTGTTGCAAACTGAGGGCCGGTACGCACGGCTGATTTGGCAGCGGGCCTGGCCGGTGTGCAGGTGTGAGAACGTGAAAAATGCACTCGGGGCGCGTTCCAAAGGCCCGAGCAGCAGGGACTGGAACCGCGCTTGAAATCAGCAGGTGCAGCCGGCAGCACGGCGAGCCTCTTACGGCTGCCACGCAGGGCCGAACCTGACCAGCCTGGCACGAGCGATGTTGGGGGTGCACGCGTGCTCAGGGCGAATTGTTACGGTTAAGAGGAGCCACTTCTTTGTGGTTGAGGTGGTTTTCGAGCTCGAACAATGCTTCGCTGTTTGTCAAAGGTTGGGGGAAACTCATATATCCCCATTCCATATGTTATTATAAATGGATATTTGTTCGGTCCAATATCTCAAGCCTTCTAAGGCTCTATGAAATTATGACAAAAATTTCTCATCAAATATTATAGAAACTCGAAGGAAGGAAAAGGCACTTTATTCTTCTGAGCGATCAGGG